CAGATTTGGAGAGAAGGAAAGAGTGAGTCTGTTGGGCAACGAAGAGCTCGTGGAGGGGGTAATGTTGCCGCCAGCTAACTGGAACACCAATGTTATGTTATGCTTGCTTATGCAAATTACGATTGTGTATCACTTGCTTACCCTTGGCTTACAAAATTTCTAATTCAATTCAATTTTTCCCTTTTTTAGAAAAGAAAAAATATTTACTAATTTACTTGTTAGCATATTATGTTATGAGTGCTATGATTTAAGGTTAAGATAAGATTTTGATTGTTTTGCCCGCTTAGCCAAGGAGCTATCCTTCGATTAGGGGTGGGCACGATCCGGTTCTTACTTCAAACTAAAATCGAAATCAGTAGTACTATTTAATGGGTCTGATCCTATTGAAAGATAATGTAGCGGAAGCACTTAAATAGATAAACTCCTTAGAAAACTAAGGGTTGTAGAGAAATCCTATCTAGAAGGACCTTGAAACTCAAGGAGGAATTAAAAAATAAAAATAGATATCAAAACTCTTTGGAATTTGACATTCAAAATGTGTTAATCTGAGTGTGCCTCTCAAGGCTACAAACACACACATATAGGACTATCTACTAGATGCATTCAATAACGAGAGTACATGATGCATGCATGAATGAAAATACATTATGTATGAGTATGATGCATTAATAGTAGATACATGAACATGCATGAACCTACTGTGCTAAATCAGGTTCACCCCATCCGAGATAGTGGCGGTTTCAGGATTCGAAAGCTGACTGGGCAAAACTTATATACTAAACTCGACGGTAGGAGTGAATTTCATTAATAAACATAAAAAGATACACATAGTGAGGAGGACGTAATGAGCCTTACCCTTAAATGCATCTATATCTACAAATACAAAAACTAATTTATGAAATTTCTGAAACAATTGTCTTTATGTGAGACAAAAAAAATTATAAGCGGGCTTGGGGTTGGTTTGCGTGAGACAAAAAAAAAAAAAAATCGTAAGTAGTGTAGGTAATATTTTTTTAACAAAAAGAGAGAAGGAAAAGGAAGACAAAAGAAAGAGAGAGAGAAGAGAAGATAGAAGGAAAAGAACCAAAAAATAAAAAGGAGAGAGGAGAGATGAGAGAAGGAAAAGAAAGAAAAAAAAAGAGAGGGAGAGAAGAGAGAAGGAAAAGAACGGAAAAAAGAAAGAGAGAGAGAGAGAGAGAGGGGAGAGAAGAGGGAAGGAAAAGAAAGAAAAAAGGTTTGTACAGGTTTGTATATGTTTAATTTAAGTGGGGGACATATGTAGTGTAGGTAAGAGTTTTTAACAAA